ATATATATATATATATATATATATATATATATATATATATATATATATTCGAATTTCGAAAATTGAAATCTTCCCTCCTTCCTTCGATTTTAACAGATATGGAAGCACACCTCGAGTTAGCATAAATTACCATATAATTCCAGATTCCCCAGCTTCGAAATCTCTCGAGAGATCGATGTACACTAAACACGCGGACAGAATTCCTAAGGAAGCATCGTGGCTAATCTCGGATCGCGTTCGCTCGTCCAAAGATGGATCTTGGAAGATCGACGAAGGAAGATCCATCTATCCAGCCGCGCTCCTATTGAATTCAGGTATGAAATCAAAGTATCGAACAAGTTATTCGATAACATATTTTTCTTCGGAAGAAAATCCCATCTCTTCTTTTTCTTTTTCTTATTGTATTAAAGTCTTTAAACTTTGTGTCTCTGATAAACATTTGTCATTCTTATTTTCTTCTTACTTCGCATCTTGACTTTTCCACATCATTTATTCGAGTGTATAATAGTTGATGAACGATCAGTTTCTCAATTGTTTTTCGAATTTTTATTATTCGAATTATTTATCCAACATCATCATCGTTACGCGAAATATTGAATGTGGCCTAAATGCCAATTTAATTTTTCCCCTCGCGGAGATATTATTTCGACTCTGTCATCATCGGGATGACAACGCACAAAGCGGCATCCGCGGTGAATGAAACATTTTTAACGCGTTATTTATGCCGGTTGAAACTCGATAATGGAACTCGTCTCACAATTATGACAGGTGTTTGATCGTTGGGAAGAATTATATTGGATAATTTTAATTTTTGTTTCAGCTTTAAAGAACGGAGGAAATATCGGTCGGTATTTCTTTAAAATTGTATTAATTGTGAAATGTAGATGATGAAAAATGATTTCATTTTGATGAGGCAAAAATTTGACTTTGATTGTTGCTCTTTTTGTTTCGCTATATTTTTGTATTATTCATTATTTTGTTATACAATTTTTAATTGTTTAATAATATTGATTTTCGGGATGGATAAAAATGTTTATTTTTATTTCTTAATTAGAACAATGATTTGTTTACGAAGTGTTTTGTGTCGATTGTATTTTAAATTGAATGGGATAGATTAGATGGATGTCATGATACGATTGTAGTACAATTTTTTTCGAAATATCCGAAATGTTTTTATAAATCCAATTTTAATTTTATTTTATTTTTATTCGATATTTTATTTCGATGATTTTGCACAGCACGCCAATTAACGTTTCAGGTTTCCAGAACGAATTTTAGTTATGGATGCTGTTTGGCTTGCTAATAAATAAAGTGATAAAAAGTGATTTATCAAAAGATAAATCTTTTAGTTATACGTAAAATTATAAATAAAACAGATTTTAGTTTTTAAATTGTTCTATAAAAATTATATTCTAAAGCGTTCCTCTTATTATTCTTTTAGCATGATAATTAAAGTGATGTTTGAAGACAGACTCTCGGCAAGATAAATTAATTCTTACTTCCAGTTCCATTCAAATTACTACCTTTTATATCCATTTGTAACGCACCTCCAAATTTCTTCTTTTCCATTGAAAAAGAATTTAGAAAATCTTGTCTAAACAACTAAGAATCCATTCGTTCCATCACATTCACATGGAACTATTCAACTATTTTCTTTCACGTTCTCAAGTATGCCGATAAGATTCCAATTTAATCAATTCGGTCACTCCAATTTACGATATTCCAATTTTTCATAGATTACTTTTCTAAAAAGACGCGTGAAAATAAATTGAAAAAAAAATAACAATATTAATAACATTAACATTACGGAAAATATTTTATATCAAATAAAAATTCGCATAATTTTTCCAATAACATTATTCGTCCTTAAAACGAGCAACTTTTGAGAGATCGTGTCCTATCTAATTTCACGTTTCGATTCAAGCAGCAATTTCAAATTCTAAATTCTAATCGAATCTCCCGTGCACAATCACGTATATATCTTCTGTATCCTCGTTAATTTCAGATTCTCGAAACAGCCAGGTGAACGGTTACACGCCGAGACTGGGCCGGGGCTCGAACGACGCTGATCGAATTCTCTGCAAATGATCATCACCGAGGAGGATCTTCAGGTTTCGCCTCAATGGAATTCACGCGACCTGACCTAATCTATCTCTATCCAATAACTACTGCTTACTTACTCACTACACAACAATGGCACAACACGTTTCTTTAAACGAGTGATAATTATAATGAAAGGATTTTTTTTTTCATGGAAGAATTCAGGAAGCATTGTTTGTAGAAAATTTATCGAAGTCTTCACGTGTACATGGCCCGTAGAATTTTCACCGCACGACACACGAACGAGAGTAATAAAGTTGGTGAAACGGCTATGCTTCTTCTTCTTTTCGAACACGAACTTTTTCCCTTGGATAAATCCATCCTGCTCCTGCTCTCCGCGAATTTTCTTTTTTCCAACCCGTGTCTGATTTCGATCTTTCTTTCCCCTTTCCTTCGTATTTTCTGCTTTGAAATGAAAAATATATCGTTATTGATAAGATTAGTAGGTGTAAAGGATCGTGATAAATTATTTTCCTTATTGTTAAGTTTACTTAATTTTTCTTATTTTATTGAAGCTGATCTCCTTTGTTGGAAAAGTAAAAAATATTGCTTGGTTGATAATTTAAAGCTGCTATGATATTCATCTTAGTTATCTTTTGTTATTTATTTTTTGAATATAATTTATAGAAATAATTTAATACGGCGTGTTAATTACGCTACGAATTCTTGATTAAAAACTATTGTATTAAACAGAAAGTATTTCTCAATGAAATAAATTTAAAGTTAAGATAAAGTCAGTCGTGATAAGCTTTCATATAAAATATTCTATCCACAGAATAAATTATTTTCATTGTGTTTCATTTCATCGATTATGTAATATTTTTTCAAAAATTTTGAAATTAATATCCATTGATTGTTCCTTAATTTGTGTGAATAAACTAAAATCTTAGAAATCTTTTCGTTTCGAAAGATTTAAAATTGAAACCATCCCTTTTATTAAAAAAAAAAATATTATAAAATACTTTTGAAACACAATTTTTTCCAGAAACGATTATAATAAATGCAAGTTAGAGGAATCCATTCTTTTACTGGATGGTCAAGGTTCAAGTTCCAAGATTAATCGTAAAATACGAGAATTTCTCTTCTCTTTTCCCCTTTCTTTTTATAACAGAAGAATTTTCCTCCTCAAAAGAAGAAATTTTTCTCTTTCTTCAAACAGTCACAAACTCATATCCTCCCTTTCGCAGTTTATTGAATTATTCGTTTGAAAATGGAATACACGAACATTCTTCTTTTGATCATCGCAATAAGCGAATCGTGTATTCCGTTATCGAATAAAACTGAGGGAAAAGAGGATGTTTCGTATCGGTGTTAATCGACCGATCAAATTATAGAAAGATAGCCAAGTTGGCCAAGTTTCAAGCGGAAAAGCCTCGGATGAGCAATGAAGTTCGTTTAATTCTTGTGATCAACTTGCGAATAGCATCTTATAAAATTAATCCGCGTATTTTTATCCTTTTTCTGTGTCCTTTTCTTTTTTTTTTTAATCGCTGTTTAAATATAATCGATGCGTGTAATAGAAATATTTTAAAAATTTGAACGATACAAGATGCGTGTTCATACAAGACCTCAGGAACTTTTGTCATAAATTGTTTATTTCAAGGCAAGTATTTATAATAATAACGAAATTCAACGATGAAAAATTCCTTTGACTTTTCACGGATGTGTGCTCGCAATGTCTCTTCAAAATTGTCTCCAATATTTTAAAAAAATTTTCTATAATCGATTCGTGTTTTATAAAAGTTAAAACAAATTTTTCCAATTTACAAAGATATTTTTTATAAATCCATCTCAGAATTGCCTTCACCATAACCGTACGATTGTTAATTCAAATTCAAAATTCATTGCCTATAATATCGTTTCTATTCGACTGATCGATCATTGACTTCTTTCACTTCTTACGTGAAACATGTAAACGTTTCAACATACAAAAGGAAAAGTAATTGCGAAATCGAAGAAAAAGTTGAAATCTTTTGAAATTGACAAAAGTCTCTGAATTTTTGGAATAGAAAAGTAGAAAATATTCATAGATTCATCTTCTGCGATATTATTGTAATTATAATTGTAAATGTTTATCTCCATCTCTATTCGAATCGAATTGAAATTCTATTCACTGATATCATGCTAGAATAATATATAATTAACAGAATGGTTCGATTTAATAAACAATGCACATGTTATTTACGCTAGTTCAAAGTTCTAATTTGAATGGATACAAGTGATAGAGAGTGATTATAATCAGCCCTGTCGATTCGCCAATTTGCATTCAATCTCCTGAATATTCTTATGATACGATTGAGATACTTTGAGTTAATAGGTATTTTCATTATTCAAAGAGTTTCTAGATGTACTTTAATGGTATAAAAAAAAGAACATCAATCTTGAAAATCAATTTAGAATTCTGAATAAATATCGTTTGATAATTCGTACGAATTCCTAACAGATAATTAAAATTAAAATCTAAATGAATATTTTATTTATCCAAACTAATAGAATTTTGAATAAATGTTCTTTAAAAGAAATAAAATTCTTAAATTTTAGCATTCTTAATAAATAATTTAATAATTAAATGTATAAAATGTAGAATTTTAAATGTAAAAAAAAGAAAATACTTACTTTTAACTCCGACAATTTGAATCTAAACAAATTTTTTAGTATTTTTATATTTAAATTTTCACAGTTTGAAATAGAAAATATTCCTATTCCGATCATACACTATTGCACACACACTTGAATATTACGTCTTTTTAATATTTTACTTGAAATTATATTAATTATAAATCTCCGTAATAAAATACGTGATAAAATTTTTGCCTCGAAAAGATATTTTTCTCAACAAAATTCTGTAAATATTTTTTATATTTAACAAAAAAAAAAAAATGACGAAAATAAAAATTACTTTATTTTGAAACATTTCCAAAATTTAATGACGCAAGGAGTTAAAAAAAAAAAAAAAAACAAATAATACGTTCAAAATTTCTTAACAATTCAAAAGAAATTCAACAACCTCTCAACCAATCAATCAGTCATCGTCTCAATCAAACCAGACTAAGCTTTCATACTTTATTTCTCCTCGCGAATTTACACACCATTTGAACATTGATCCTTCGCTTGTAATCTTCATCCCCCCCCCCCCCTCCTCCCACCTCATCATCCCCCAAAGATAAGACATCTGATCTTCTATACGAGTCGATCGGATTTTTCATTCGATCGTGCGCTGGAATAAAAAGTCAGAACAATAATTCGATGATGTGTAAAATTCAATCGTTTTATTTAATTGACAAAGTGTTCATAATGGGCGGCGACGCGGCACGCGTCGGCCACGCTATATTAAATACGTGTACTGCGATAACAAATATGTACAGTTGGCGGGATCGAAATGGTGAAATCGCAAATAAAAACATTGCATGATGATATTTAACGATGCGATCGATATCCAGGGCTGCACGTTATCTTATAAAAAGTACGATAAGTTCGACATTTCCATATCGTAGCAAAATCGTGATTCGATTTACCTTTAACAGGTTAAATATTTATTTATTATTACTTATTTCAACTTGAATCAATTCGAATTGAGTGAAAAAAAGTAATCGTCTTATCGTGTTATATATTTTACACTTTTTAACAATTAAGCATATTGTAAATTATTATAACCACACTTACGATCCAATTATTGTACATCGTTGTCTTCAAATGAAAATTATATATTCTAAAAAAAAAAAAAAAAAGAAGAGAGAGAGACAAGTGAAATTGGATGTCGCACAGCCTTGAACGAGATTCCAACTTTTAATCTTCCCTTATATTATATTTCGAAATCGCTCGAAACACGTGAGATTTAACGGTTGACCGATTTTTACGATCTCGGTACCACCAACCATGCACACGTAGAGTACGTAACAAACTAGTGATACACCTCGAGAATGATTAGGGGAGATAACGTTACTTCGTCCTCTGCATCCGCCACGAGGATATCCCTCGTTCTTCCTTATCTTCTTCTATTTTTTTGTCCCTTTCTTTTCGTCCATTTCCGTCCATTTTATCGTTTCATTTTGTGTATTTTCTTTTTTTTTTTTTATTAATCGTTATTTACAAACCACCAGAATCCGTGGATATTGGCAACTAGGAGAGACTTACGTTCTAAAACGATCACACACGCACTCGTCATTGTACGAGCAGCCAAGCATGCAAGCCAGTTAGACAAGCGAACATACAGACACGAGGGGGCTCGTCTTAGAAACTGCACGTGTCCACTTGTTTGTGTATCATCACGGTTTGGAGGAACGTGATTGACGGTGATTTTATTGAAATTTGAAAATTGGGAAGATGACTTTTGTTAGGCAGTTTTAGCGTAAAAGAAAATTACGAATAAAACAAGTTTAGAAATTAGGTAAGAAAGAAAGCTTGATTCCATCGATTCCAAAGTTTAAAGTAAAAAGATTAGATTCGTAGATAGGACATTAAAGAAGGATCTCTATTTAAAACAATGGATGTAATTCATGAAAATTCAACGAGGAATTGGATTTGGATTTTGAGATGAAATTTTGGAAATTGTAGAGATAATTAAGAGTGTTGAAAAATCTAATAACTAAAAGATGGATAAAGTATATTATGCGAAGTTTTGTACATTTAGAAACTGGAAGAAGATTGCGTTTCACGAGGGAATAATAGAAATTAAAATTGAGAAAAAGCGACAGAAAGATAAAAAGTAAAATTAGAGGTGACAGAAGCTTGAAAAAGTAGGGAACGTGTATTAAGAGAATTTTATCATCTCTTCAATGAAGTATTTTTTTTTTTTTTTTCTTAGCAAATATCTCATAGTTTTAAAATTAGTTTCATTAAAATTAAAATGAGAAAATCTTATTTTTATACTTAAAATAAAAGGCAAAAAAATATTTAAAATATCGGAATAACAAGGGAAGACGTTAGTTAGATACGACATATATCAACGTCATACACAAAGAAAAACTAATTTACGTATAAATTAAACATTTTCAGAATAGGAAATAAATTAACGGAGATATAGATTAATTAAAGAACTAAATGAAAAGTAAATAACCGCGGTACTCTATTGGAACTACGCTGCTAATTGCTGCTCATTCAACCGAAACCATTAATATATGAATATAGTGTTGAATGACATTCTTAAAATTATTGCACAGCGAGCTTCTATAACGATCAACATCAAAAAATATTTGATCGACTGTACATATGTTATGTTTGTTATAAAAAGTCTTATGAATTCTAGCATCAGTAAAATTAACTTTCTGATACTTTTCGTTTCTGATATTTGAGCAAACGAACGAATTAATCTGTTCGAGCTATGTACAAAATTGTTTCGATTCGTTGGTGAAAAAGATTCGTTTCGTATCGATAATTCCAAATGGCGGACGTCGATCATTGGCGCTAGTGTCGGCAACCTCTACTTTAAAAAAAAAAAAAAAAAAAGAAAAAAAAGAAACGTGCAGTTTCGAGACTCGACGTCTTATGTAATCGAATAAGTTGTTGGACAGACATAACTGTATACTACTTTCGATAACCTCCGGACGTCTTTTTAAATATATCAACGAGATACAAACTTTCTAGGTCCCTGTATGTATACAACCTTAATCAATGTACGCTCGAGGAGTGATTTCCGGATGATTTAAAAACGTGAGCCATTCGCTTACCAAGTGACGATAACAAGTGTTAAGTACATCTAGTATATTATACATACAGCACTCACGGTATAAGTACAAGATATACAAAAGTGTTCCTCCTATTTTTATTACCTTAACTTACATTTGGCAACAGGATCATTGGTCTTCCGTGTTTATTCTATCATATCAAACATTCTTGCGAATCGAAAAATTATTCCAAAAAAAAAAAAAAAACGAATAGAAGAAGAAGAATGAATGAATAAAATAACGACGAGTATCACAGGCGATAAAAATCAAACTACGAGCTCTATAGGCAAGCCAACCAGTAAAAATTGCAAACATCTTTTTCTTTTTTTACCTTTCTCAAGATTATACAATTCCTGTATATCGAAACAACATCACCTCGCCTCGTGTTTCACCTGGTAGGCACACGGCTCACTGTATAAAATGCGAATACGTGTGAAGTACTATCAACGACGAACACAACGAACAAGGGAGAGAAGAGGACACACGCGACTGAGTACGACGGTTGTTGTGTACGTTCAAGGAGGAGAGGGGTGGGAAGGAAGAAGCGACGGACGAGCTTTCGAACAAGTATACCGACTATTTCCCTCGAATGCCGTGGACTTGTCACCTTACAGAGACACGAACTCGTGAGGCGGTTGAATGATTCGCGGTGGCGGAGGCGGTGATAATCTTAGGTCCACGTCGGTGAGCGAGAACGCGGAGCTCCCGTTAGCCGTGACACGGGGCCCCATATTGTCGTAAGGCGAGCAGAGGTCGGTGGAGCGCAGCGCTCGTCGCGGCAGCGTGGCGAAACTGGAGACGCTGGTTGCCGGCGGAAGGGCCGTGGTCGTTTTGCTCACCACGCCGCCGGTGGCGTGAACTGGAATGTCCAGAAGGTCGGGGTAACAACGATCGGAGGCGTCTTGCGGCACCGCCACGGATATGAATATGTTCCCGAATATTCCGGGCGGTAGAACACCGCTGGTGAACTCTGGCGGCGGTGGCGGGAACACGCACGGCACGGTTCTCATGGCGTTCACGGGGCCGCCGCTCATCTCCGGATGCAGTCTCTCCACGGTGACGGTTGCCGCGCTCATAGGATCGCAAATGGATCCCCTTTCGGCCAGTTCCAGGTCGCCCGTGCTGCAACCCTCCACTATGCTCCCGTGGCCGCTGCCCCGATCGTTGCTGTTCCCAGGCGTGGTCGTGGTCACGGACAGGTCAAGGAGCTTCTTCTCCTGGTCGCCGAAACTGGTGCTGCTCTGAAGCTTCACCTTTTCGCGAGCGGTCTGCCGCCGGGTCCCGCCGCACACGCACAGCGCTAAAAGGACCGCGGAAATGGAAGCACACAACGCGGCCGCTCCACCGCCGGCCAGGCTCACCCAGAGCAACCAGTTGTCGCTCTGGGAGAGCGTGGGCGCCGTATACACACGCGGGATCGCTACGCTGACCGTATCCCTGGCCAGGCCGGCGATATTTTTCGCGAAACAAGAGTACTCCCCGGCGTCACCGTCACTCGCGTTGTAGACGGTCAGGTTGTTCCACCTGTCGACTAGTTTACCGGATGGCGAGGAGGATCGTTCGTTGTACGCCGTGTCGACGTCGGACACGTAAGCTACGTAGGTCCCCGAGTAAATCTGCTCGGTCAGCTTGGTCGCGTTCACCGGGCCTCCGTTCAATTGCCACCAAACCTCGGGCTCCGGATCCCCGGTGGCTAAACAGGCGAGGCTCAAATTTCCGTTCGTCTCCTCTTGGATGCTGCTCGCAAGAACGAACACCTCTGGCTCACAGGCGAACTCAACAGGTTTCACGTCCTCCCACTTACGACCTTCTAGTCTCGTCGGCGATGAACACACTTGAGGCACGGAATACAATTTGCTGGGTCCATTGGGGATCAACCAAGTCCGGAAGTCTCTGAGCCTGCAGTCGCAGCTCCACTGGTTCCCGTCTAACGTGAGAGTTTTTAGACGTGGCAGATTCGATATCACCGACACCTCTAGATACTCGAGGACGTTCTGGTCTAGCCTCAACGACTCCAAACCAGTCAGATAAACGAACGCTTCCCCGTGGATCTCGGACAGGGAGCACCTCTGCAACTCCAAGTTTCTCAAGTGTTGCAGCAGCGGGAACTGGTGGCTTCTCAACCGCGTCAATGGATTTCCGCTTAAAATTAAGATCCTCAGTCTTTCGTTGCCCAGAAACGTGTCTGGCTCGAGCATCTCCACGTGATTATCCGACAAGTCGATCTCTACCAGGATCCTCATGTCCCTGAACGAGTCGGCGTGGATCTTGTGGATGCCGGCGTTCCTCAAGAAGACCCTCTGCAGATTCAGCAGGCCGGAACGCTTGAAGATTTCCGACTGTAACGCGGGAATCTTGTTCCCGGACAGGTCGAGCACCTGCATGTCAGGGTCCAGTGAGGCTGGGAGTGAGGTTAGACCGGCGTCAGGGCATAAGGCGGATTTCTTTCCGGACGTCCACTTGCAACGGCACACGGCTGGACAATCGGTCCAGTCTGGGAACGCAGCCGCTTTCGAGAGCAGGGCAAGCGTGCCGAGTAGAAAAAAGAGGGCCAGCAGGATGCGCCCTCGCAGAGGGTGGTGCCTTGTCCCTATCATGCCACTATCCGTTTCTCTCTCGCTACTGCTAGTGGATCCTCCCTTCGTCGACTAGAAACCTGAAACATGTGAAATAATATGAAACATCGGTTCGAATAATTTGACGAATTTTTTCGAATTTTTATTATTGGAATATCTGAAGGATGGGATAGTTTTGGGATAGTTAGTTACAACCAATAACGTATTTTTTATTACGATCGCAAGATCGATACTTATTGCTCTGATCAGCGATCCTGTGATGCAATATCAAAAGTTACACGTCAGCTGTTGTTATAGGACAATGGAATCGAAAGCGACGTAACCACACCGCGAATTTCGTTATCTTTCGAACTTTTCTTCGCCTGTATCGGGTGACCTATTTTAATTGTTACCCCAACGCAATACTCGTTCTCGAAATTTCTCAATTGGCGACCGATTTCTGCCTACTGATATAATTCCATCTGCACGATACCATCTCGATAACACGTCGTATTTGAGCGATAGAACCGAATTTATTATTTCTCGCTGCCTTCACTCGACATATGTTCGTATGATATTCTAAAGGTCACCGTATAAGCGGCAGTCTTCGAATATATTACAGATTCTATCGAAGTCGTCGAAGAAGTGGATACATGGGGGTTAAAGGTCTAGGGGAGCGTCAGAATATTAACGAGGAGGGTTCGATGGTTGGAAATATGTATATGCGTGTATGTATGTGCGAGCGAGGGCTCCCTCGAAATACATAACTCCCTTATCGTATTCCTAACAAGAGCAAAATCATAAATGATACTTTTCCGTTATCTGCACGTCACTGTCGGTCCTTAAACTAATGGGGAAAAGATTGCAAAAAGTTGAAGTTAAATGGGAATGATATTAAGGCGAGTATCGGTTATTTCGTGTGATTTTAGCACTTAATTTTTTCTACAACGATATAATAATTAATTCTCTGGTTAATATTAACAAATGAGAGATTGTAAATCGGAAGAAATTCTAATTGCATAAATATTTTTAAAAATATCGCAATCTCAATTAATCGTTAATTAAACGTTTTTGAAAAAGTTTTTTTTTTCAAAAACGAGCCAATAAATAAATTTTTATCGATTGCGTTGATTCGAAAGACTTTTAACTTGTAAAACTTTGTTCGTATCACTGTGATTCCAGAAATTACCAACTCGACTAATAAATTAGTATTCAATTGTGCGATTCGAATGATCGGAAGCCATAAATTATATTGGATCCAGCAAGCAGGTAAACAAACGAGATTTCGAGAAGTTCCTCTTTAACCGTCGCGTAGTCAATCTTTCGCAAGTAAGTTCACTTTTGCCGAAAACACCAAGTTCTCGCATAAATTGAAATAGGTCAACCCTTGAAGCGTATATGCGAAAGATACGAAAACAAGGGTGGGATCTTGGTTCCTGTTACAGTATGCTCGTATTATTCTGCATTATTCTCCCGAAACATTTTCTCCGCAACACTTAAAAAACAACTTCGAACCTGTTGACTCTAACGCGAAACAGACCGAACGGAACTTTTCAGGAAACCGGGAGGAAAGAAGAGAAAAGAAGAAAAAGAGAAGAAGAAAAAGAAAAAACGCCCCGATATTTCTATTCATCCCCATCGCCCCCTGTTTTTCTCCCTGTTCACATGAGAGTAAGGAGGCTAATTAACGAATACAATTCGTCTTTTTTCCCCGTGTAAACTGGGTGGGAAAAGAAAGACAAAAGAAAGGAAACATCGTTAAAAAAAAAAAATTGAAAAGGAAAAAAAGAAGAATCTATCGATTATGAGGGAAGAAAAAGAGCTGAAGAAGGGTAGGATACTGGTGTATGATCGAACGCCACGTGAACATGTGATTTGAAAAGCGCGCGTGAACAGGATGACCACTCAAAAGAAACTAGAATAAAAATTTTTTACTAGCGATGTGTCTTTTTTATATTTTAAACGAAAAGAAATGTATATTACCTAAGAAAAAAAGAAAAGATTCAATACATAGATTTTTATATTTTACATATTTCCAAAGGAAACGTTCAAATATTTGTATATTGCATTTGAGAAATTTTTACCTCTTATGTCGTTATTTATACTCGCAGATACATTAAAAGAGCACGCGATACAGATGAGTCAAACATTTTATGTAACGTGCAACCGTTTACATCCTTCTAGTACTCCCCTATAAAATATTCCAAAAACTTCAATTTACATACGAATCTTTCATCTTATATACTCGATGCGTATATATAAAATTTAGAATTTTAAATAAAAACTACATTCGTCTAAGTGCTAAATAAAACTATATATTATTTATTCTTAATATGCCATAAATTCTTTCTTCCTGCGTCATTTCTGTGCATCTCAAAGTGGCAATAAACTGGTACGATATCACGTATGTAACGAGTATGTAAAATTACGCGTGATAAGTTCCGGTTTAACACACTCACCGCCATAGTTTACGCTCGTAAACGGCCGTTTCTCAATGCGTTGTTCTACTTAATATTGTTCGAACAATACTCACATTTTGTCCTGTCTTTATTATCAAGATTTATATAATTAAATTTCTCAGAATATGATCAAAATTAAAATATCTGGTGAATGAAATATATTGAAAGCAATTACTTTGAAAAGAATCGTTTTAAAGAATGGCCAAAGTCCTTGAAGTCCTCGATGCTTCCCCTATCATGTTTTGTGGTACAATCAATTTTGTAATTTTATCGCATTGAGTTTTTTTTTGCATACAATATACACGTTTGTATTGACATGTACGATCAATAAAATCATTGTCCAATTAACGAGAAAGGTTCTATATTATAAATTCTATCTCCGCGTGAAAAAAATAAAAAGACAGAAGAAACGAGATATCTGAAAAAGGAAAACGGAAGAATGTTCGACAAATAAAACGACATTATAACAATATTTTAAAAACTCATATTACACACGTAGCACGTATCATACGAGAAATGTTATCGTATTTTTATCGTATCACGAAACTTTCGTTCTTTGAAACGGATTCAACAAATTTTAGAAATCTTTT